AAAAATTTGTTTCTAAAATCGATTTGTATTTGGGGTTTTTTTTGTTTCGATATTTAAAATAATTACAAAATTTTCCTTTTAAAAAGTTCGATATTTACGAAATTTCATAAATGGTAAAAAATTAACGAATCGATTTCTGAAACAATAACGAATCGATTCGTTAATGGCGGACGCGACCGCGAAATACGCTAAAAAACCTCCAAAACCTTCTGAAGCTTCCCTCTCCCTCTGTTGTTGACTGTTGGTGTGATATTATAATTTTTTTTCACTAATTAAACCATAAAACTGGCCCAGACATGCGGAAATAATAACGAAACGACCTCAAAACAATAACAAAACGAATACAATATCGAAATACGAAGCATTTACAAACCGTTTTTGAAAATTCGTTTTTTTTAATAATTGCTCCAGAATGGTTCGTTATCGTTTTGTAATTGAAAAAATTAACGAATTATTAACGAATTACGAATTAACAAAACGAAACCGCCCAGCCCTAATTTCTGTATAGAAAATTGTTTGGGTTTTTTTTCTGCACAAACATCCATGTGTAATTTTGTGCAGAATAAATCTAAAATTGTGACGATTCTCATCGGTCCAGGGCTACCTTTATTAGGGTTTCCTAACATTTAAGTATTATGTGACCATTTTCCAAATATTCAAAATATTTTCAAATATTCCTCAGATTCCTACTTTGGAGGGTGGAGAGGGATCCTGTGTTTCAGCCTAGTGCTTGTGAATTTACACACCAGGACCCTTTCTAACCTGTTTAAAAAACAGGAAGGTAAAACTCACCCTTGGAGTATCTCTAAGAAATTAATACTGACACATCCTTCAACCAGAATGAATGTAAAATAAAGCATGTTAGAAGGATTCAAAATGTGCTTTTCTTGCATTTACTTATGAATGAACACTCTCTCCGCCCTGTATCACATTGTCCAAAAATAATTTGCATTAATACTTCCAACTTTTGATGTTACAAATAATATTCATATATTCTAAATTCACCATTCATGAATGCTTATATATTAATACTATAAAATTCATCTGATAATCTGAAATCTGAGATATATAATCCTAAATAAAAATAAAACCATAATTTATATGAGTGCCTGAAAGGGAATACAACCTCAGTGATGAAAACACTACCTAATTTATGATTTTTTTATTGTTGTTGTTCACTTTTGGTGTCATCTTCTATGTTGAGACCAAATCCATGTTCTTAATTTTGTCTGACAGAAGTAAAAAAAAAACCCCACTTCTGGACATTTCATAATCAGAGAATCTTGAATTGCATGTTTATCAAATTTCACATTTTTGAACAGTGAGGAAGCATATTTTGAAAGGTGAGCATTTAAAGGGAGATATGTGCAAATCTGCCTTTTATAGACTTTCCTCATATTAAGGTGGTCTTGGGATACATGAGCAGCACATTAACTTTCTAAATCTTGCTCAATTTCCTAGAGCATTTTGAAATTCATAGTGGAGTTTTGTTTTAGATTTAATCCTGGAATTGGGTGAAAGGAAAGCCTAAAACAAATGAAATGTCTATAAATTAGGCCAATGGTGTACAATACTTATTTTCTCATGACCCATTCCAATCTTTTACAGGATATATTGATAAGAAGAAGCAAAAAATACAAGGAGGATCCCATGAAACACAAAGTTCACTGTCCATCCAGACAATTATATTGTTAATAGTTTGTATTAGGACAGAGTTAGCTACTTACTGCTGCAATTGTATGAAAATATTTTATAAAATTATTACAAAAATGTGTTACTGAGTTAGGGAGAACAACTGTGAAAATACTGCAGCCTACAAAGTTCCTCATTACAAGGAATATATAATGTATGGGAAAATTCCAGCAAGTCCTAACGACAAGAAATACTGGCTTGTTTTGATGAAAAGAATCAGTCAAAGTGCTTCTTCTGAAACTGAATTCATCTTTAATTACAATTGATCTTGGTATAAATAAGTAGCATGAACAAAATGAGTTCTATCTATGTGCAAGTCCTATGTTATTAAAGGGAGCTGTCTGCAATCTGCATATTTATATTGGGTGAGGTGTTTTTGTTTTTCAGTTAAGCAAAGCAATTAGGAGGGTTAGATTAGAAATCCGATTGGCAATAAATCTAGAATTTGTTTTTCAGGTTTTTGGAGGGAGAGATGGAGCAAGAAAACAGATTGGAATGTAAAGCTTTGGATAAAACCAATCACGAATGTCCTAAGATATTTTGGTGTCTAGGGACCAACATTCACACTTTGCTATGGTAATTAAGATGGGATATAATGAAACACTCTTTCACATACATTGCCTTGCATTGGTTGGTGCTCCTTCTGGATTGGACCTACAGTGGTTTAAATCTGTTGCCAACACACTTTAATGACATCTCAGGAAGCTGCCTCTCTGTCACCTGACCTTTTGAGGGGTTTCTTTGTTGGGAATGTAGTTTATTTTTATTTTCTTTTGTCACAACTAATAGCATCAAATTATTACTATTAAAATGGTTTAAATAACAAATGCTGGAGGAAAATGAATGCTTTTGTTACAATTTTTAGGGCCACGAAAATGGCAGACCCAGAGAAGGGAGGTTAAAGGAAACAATGAGGTTGGTAGCAGCTTAAATCTTCCACTTACCCTGTATGTTTGCTGAACCTTTCTCACCATAAAACATTTTCCATCGTGAAGTTCTCAACTTTTGTTGCATATATATTTGGCAGAGAGAAGAGCAGCACATAAGGAAAGACTTATGAATATTGACCAGTTTTCTGTATCAACTTAGTTAAGTCTTCCCAGCTAAAGATGGATCTGCACTGTAGAATTAATGTAGTTTGAAATCACTTTAACTGCCATTGCTCAATGCTATTGGATCATGTGATTTGAAATTTGGCCATGCATCAGCAATTTTGAGGTAGAAGGCTAAAGACATAGTCAAAATTCAGAATTCTATATCATTGTGCCTTGGCAGTCAAAGTGGTGTCAATCTTCATTTATTCTACAGTGCAGAGATGCATCCTAAGAAACTTCTCCTGATACAACTCCTGCCAAACTTGTTGGAAATATCATTCACTCATATTCTGATTACTACAAGAATGGACCTCCTTCTCTCCATGCATTTGCTCCCTGCTGAAGTGGCAATAGTTGTGGTAATAGTGACATTTGTGACTAAGAGGCTATCATGCTAGATATGGCGATAGTGACTCTGAGTGGAATAATCCAGATTAGTGCTGCTGAAATACACATGACCAAGCCTCCAAACCAGCTCAGGGGCTGGTAGATGTCTCTATTGCATGACACTAAGCTTGCCCAGTTTCTGAATGGTATCCTCCTGGCCCAGAAGCAAAGGAACTAGCTTGTTACTGTTGGACCTCCAGCCTTACCTGGCGGTGGTTGCTGCTCGGTGCATGTAATGGTGCTAACCAGAACAATGAAGCAAGACAATTCCTCCACTCTGGCTACCATCACTACAGAGGCTGAGCAATGACCACCATCAGTTTCATGTTGGCAACTAAGAACTAATTGACAAGAGGAAGGTAAATGCCCAAGCCCAGAGAAAGAGGGATGGCTGTGTAAACAGCTACGGATACTTCCAAATAGGAAGCTGTTTGACCTGGTATAAAGTGTTGGCAATGTCCGAAGCTTTATCCCATGCCAGAACAAGGTTGGGTTAAAGTGAATGGATTCTGGGTGTCATGTGGATGCCACAGAGTCCATTCATTCCCCTCCCCCCCCCCTAAATCAGCTCATTTGGTCTATATAGTCAGACCCTAAGTAGCAATCATAACTATGGAATAGTTATAGATGAGTAAACCTAGGAAATTGTCCTGCATTCAGTATAACTTCTTAAGACCTAATCAAAAGTGCTACTGGAATCACAATGGATCGACCAACTCACCCAAGTGCCCATCCCATGGGAAGAAGCATCCGCTGCCTGGCTTCCCCTTGTTGATCCAAGGCAATGTGGAAAGCTTCTCATGTTGCTGCAGTGGTAGCATGCACCGAGTCATGTTCCCCTTTAAGACAGAGCCTTGCTGTAAGTTGCAGTGCATTGTGGTATGGGAGCCATCAGGCTCTGCCTTAAAAGATCAGGCAAACTGGTGCATGTGGGTGAATTTACCCCATCTGATGAGGTTGTTAGACATGATTAGACAATTCCCTATCCAACGTACTTTAGCAGGCTTTAGCTGTATGTAGAGAAGAAGGTCCATTCCGCTGATCATGAAAACAAGGCATTTCCTTCAGATTATGGAGGATCAGGTCAAGAGAGTTTACTTGGTTGAATATAACTGTGTAACATCTGAATTAATCAGCTGATAGGGAATTATGGGTTTTTTTTAAAAAACAAACAAAACTATTTGCCTCTAGTTGTTAGAGTATTCTCCACTTTTCAAAATGGATATTACATAAATCATTTGAAATACAATGAATACTTGATGTTTAGTAGATCTAATCCTAGCTGATCTAGGGATGTTCAAAAATGTGAATGATATGTGAAAGGACCAGAGTGATTCTTGAGATTTTATAACATTTAAAAAGATGTGTATGCAAATGGTTTTGGAGAAAACCAGAGGCCAAGAAATATAGAATTGCAGCCCTGACTCATGCTTCAACTCATTCACCTGTTTTTCTGCTTAATCACCCTCCAGCAGTGACTAGTGGGTTTTTTTGTTTGTTTTTTTGCAACAAGAACGAGAAACAAGCATGCCCCTTTGTTCCTCTCTGTTGCTGCAAGGGGGAAAACCCACACATATACAAATGGATAGCATTCATGTAGGATGAGTACACAAATGGTCAGTATGGAGCAACGGCTGCCAGGGGCTGTCTGTGGGAGGCTGTCACAGTTGTCAGAACCAATACCTGTGACAGCCACCCAGAGCTTTCACATAACAATGAATCTATACCCGAGGCCCTTGTGTGAACATGGGCACAAACTGCAGTTTAATCAGAAAGCTCAAAAACACTTAAGTATAAAATACAAGAAAAAGAAAACATGGTTGTTACCTGAAAATTTTCCTTCCTTACAGCGGGCTGGTCCACAGATCCCAACAATGGGTCTTTGGCCTCTCCCTTGCTGTTCTGGAGGAAAATTGGACCTGTGAGTTATGGAGAAGGAAACACTTGTGCCATTCTTCCCACCCCATGCCCACCGTACCCAGACAATTTTTAAATGCTCACAGTAGAATATATTTCACATATGTTTCAGAAATCTGACACAAGAAAAGGTCTGTTTGACCCAAGTATGTGCTTTGCCCTGTTTCAAACCTGATCTGCTTAACCAATACAAAAAACACAATACTTGTTCTTCCCTAATAAAGAAGCTTAAAACATATGAACACTGTAATTGATCTAGTAGCAAATTCACATGACCATTCTTCTTTATGTCTGTAGTCCACTCAAATTTGACTTCAGTTATAGATTTCATCTATTTCTAAATTACCTCACAAAATTACAGGCTTTCCAGTAGTTTTTATAGCATAAAAATTAATTTAAGAACAAATACATTCATTTTAAATATTTTTCAGACTTCTTTCAGAAGATACAAAAGTTATTTTGCATTCATACAGATATCAAATTTCATTGTTTAATTGTAAAAAAGATTCATATTTCAGCATAAATCTTTGTGAATGCTAAATCACTGAAGAAAATAACTGAAGCCCATAAAATCTTATCCTGAAATAAAAAGGTTAGTCTTACAAGACAGGTGTCCTAAGCAGCCAATACTATTTGCAAGTGCTAATCAGATCTGTGAATGAGTCAGTGTGTACTTAAAATGTCATTCTAAAGAAAACGTTTGAACCAGGGATAAATATCTTCAACTGCTTATGGTCTTGAGATAAAGCCATTCACAAGATGCTTTAAATGTACAGTAGATAGGTAGGTAGCAGGCATGTAGCTGGGGAGGGGGGGCTTGAGGGGCTTCAGCCGCCCCCCTCCCCCCGAAATTCTCATGGTGGTTCACGAAAAGGCCTTACTGGTGCATTATTTAAACTGTTATGTTTATTCATATCATGATCTGATCACCATACTCAATATATCCCATATGCATGGGAGTATTGGGGTAATGATACAAAAGGTTTGCTAGGGTAGACCCTCTTTCACTCAGACTCAGGCCCCCCGAAACTCAGCCCCCCCAACCCCCCCCTGAAAAAAACTCAGCCCCCCCCCCCCCGAATCGAAATCCTGGCTATGGGCCTGGTAGGTAGGTAAAGATACACAGACAGACAGACAGTTGGGTACATAACTGGGAAAGACAAGCTTGACCATGATTCTAATATCTATTCTTATATGGATATCCTCTTATCCTCAGTGCATATCCCTTCTGAACAAATCTTGCCATGAAAACCCCATGATAGTTTTGCCTTAAAGTCACTATAACTCAGAAATAACATGGAGGCAGACAGCAACAAGTAATATGGAAAAATACTATGTACAAGGTAAGAGCAACATTTCTTCTGAAACATTGCACAATTCAAGATCCAGCATTTCATTCAACTGTGTTCTAGTTATCAAAATATCAAAACACAGGTTGTCAAGATGGCGCTTTACTATTTAAAAGATCTTGACAAAACTAATTGTAATTGAAAATTAACATAGAAAAAAAGAGCAAGCATTTGGAGTTTATATTTCTGCTCTTATCAGAACTAACAGCTGTAAGCCAAAGGTAACAAGAAAGTAATGTTTTTGAGTTTTTGAGTTTTTTCCCCCTACATCTCTCCCAGGGGCTTGGTTTTTTTTTATTTCATTATGTTTTGTTTTTGCCATCTCCTGACTGTCTTCTGAGACCAAAAAGAACATAATATTGGTAGCACTTTAAATAATTTTTGGCTAGTTTTCAGATTTCTAAGGATTAGAAATAAAATGGGTAATCTTATTGTCCCAGTACACCGAGTAGCTTCTACACAATAGCTAACATTTGTAGCAGCAATGCGAAAGTGCTGAAAATTCATTCGCAGATTTCTTTATTTTCTTTCTTTTCTTTATCCAAGGTGTTGAACTTAATATGGAAATAAAGGTCAGCACCTTGAACAGCTGCTTTAATTAATTACATTTTAGCTAGCTAGCTAGCTAACTAACTTTGGTCTTTAAAAACAATGAGCACAACACTTGAAGCACAAAAGATATTTTACAGAGGAAATGAATACAACCAAGCCCTATTGTATCAAATACACAGTCTGAATTAATTCTGTTCCATCGAAGGGAATCAGATTGTCATACGGGAGTTCCATAATCAGATGTCCTATCACCTTTTCCTTTGCTTCAAAACAGCAAGGGCAAAGGGGGTCAGATCCTGGAAGTGATACATTAAAAGCAACAACCTTGCCGACAACATTACGTCGGGAAGAAATTAGATCACAACAATACTATATTTTTAAAATTAAAGGTGGCAATGTTATTGCTGCTTTAATATCCACTTGCATTTCCAAAATTAGGCCTTCTGGGATTCATAGGAGGACTGTGGGTCACTTTGTACATTTTGATGTCTTCAAAACAATTTAAAAGTAACTGGAAATCAACATATTGTAAAGATTATTAAATGACAAGCAATAGCAACAATCTGTTTAACATGTCACAAATTAGTTTTTTTTTTTAAAAAAAAAAGGAACACAATTTTGAGCTAAAACAATATGGGAGGAGGGGGATTTAAATAATGTCTCAAATTAAAATTTGAAATGCAGCAACAATTGAGTCAACTTGCATAGGAACACAGATAGATATACTCCTCTGCCTCATATTGTGGTTGACACTGCTTTTTAGAAACACAGGTATGGCTGCATCCTTGACTTCAGACTACTTTCAAATAATATGTGACTGGTACGGTTAAAGAGATTTTGTTGGATACTTATATAGGCATGACATAGACAGACATTTCTTTGTTTTAAAAATGTTCTACTTTCTGTACCATTCCCAATACTTTGCTGCAGATATTAGGAAGCCTGAGGAAGTAACCACAACAAACAATTTTGAAACCCATTAATGTTTTGGCCATTTAAATCTGGAATATACTGAGATTTCTTTCCTCTTCTTCTCAAAACAGGAAGAAGCATAAATATGATGACACTGAAACAACAGCTATTTTAGCAAGATAATTTTATCAGGATGTCTTCTTCAATTAGAAGATGTGTTCTGTGATTAAAAACAGAACTGACATAACTATTTGTGGTAGAGGCTTGTTTATTCTTATGCCCTAAGGAAACATCTAAAGCATTTGAATAACAAAAAGGATGAGTGGAAATATATTTTCTGTAAGATATGTGTTTATGATGTTTTAAATACTATCCAGTCTGTCCTTCTGAATGAGTGCTATGACTATAGTGATTTGCAGTAGGGCTCAAGGACTTCAGAAATAAAACACTGCATCATTTAGAGCTGTGGAAAAGTCATATGCTGAATATTTAAATGTTTTATATATCTGTAGTAGTCTAAAAGAAGCAGTAAGGGTGGCCATCTACATGCAGCTTTTTTTTTTCTTTTTCAACAAATGGGATTTTATGTGTGATGTCCCATTACAAACTACAGTAAGATCCAACACTACTTAGTGACCAAGTTCTTAGTGCACTAATGAAAATATTGTAGAGCTCATGAAGTTATTATTGAGCATGAAGATCAACAAAGGGACAATGGGACGACAAGCTGAAAGATGAATGTCACAGTCTTTATTCCCATTGGAGATGTAGCAACTACATGAACTCAACTTTCTGAAAGATACTATTTTTATTTTGGAATAAGACAAGTGCAATTAAATAGTCTGGGCAGAGTTCAGGAATATTGTGGTTATCAAGACTCATTCTGGTATCCACAAACTAACAAAGCCTATCATCAAATGAAAACATTGGAAAATGTCTCCACCCGCTGCCATTTCTTCTTTGACCTTGTGTCCATGCTTATCATTGGGTGCAAAATTGCAGGAAAGATAATTTAAGAACTGGAGTGTTCTAGCCCAGCAAACTATACAGAAAGTGATAAGGGGTAAAGAGGTATTTGCCAATCTCCTTCTTGGACTTCCATTTTTTTTTTGTTTACAGCCAGTAGACACACAAGTGAAAAAAGTGTTAGTAACTGACACAGTGGTCAATTTCCCACATTTCCTTATTTATGTATTTTTTAAAAAATAAATTTATTATGATTTTTGAAATATTACTGTAAAATAGTGTGAATTTCTTTTAGCCTGTGCAGCTTTGCCCAAGGCAATTGTGTTTTTCCAACAATTCACCTGACAGTATATATTTTGAGTCTTATTTTCATTATGATTTCCTGTGTGTACTTCTTCCTAATATAAATATGGATTTTATGGACTTCCCTTGATTAGAGATATGTCTGGAAATTACAAAACTAAAATGTGAACCAAAGAAATGTATACCTCAGCTCCTCAAAGGGGATAGTATACAGAACTTCAACTCTACAGCCTTGTGGCGTATCAGCTTTTTATTCTAGGTTTCAGGTGCAGGTAGAAGGGCCAGTGATAGAGATTCAGCTAAACAGCAGTAACTTTACTAACCGCCAGGCAGGTGTTAGCAAGGAGAGGTGTCAAGAAACCACTGAATATCTTTGGGCCAAATTTGGGTCACACTGTTCATAATGATGTAAGCAAGTAAAATAATTACAACAACCCTTTGAACTAGGCTGGGACGGGTGACTGTTGAGATTAGGGGACCATTCTGGTGACCCCAGATCTTTTGGAGGCCTACAACCCAACCTGTTCCTCTCTGGAAATATGTTCTTTTTCTTTTCACAGTAAGATGTTCCTCAAAGAGGTGATTTAAAGACATTTTTGCCAAGTTTAAGCTATAAATTCATTTAGGCCCAAGCAAGGTTTAATTTTTAAACAAAAAGAGGARGTGGCCTAGAAAWCACTTCCAGTTCACCTCCTTTGTTGAAAAACAGTGTCTCCTTGGCCTGAAGCAGCCCAGAGAGATAAAAAAAAGGTGGCAACCTCTCCCCTCYAAAGTGTTGTGTGGTTTGAATGAAATCGTATGAAAGRCTGAAGACACCATCCTAAGWAAATTGRAACCTGGGAAAAATGGYATTATGAAAGGAGATGAAGAATTCATGAACTTCTGACATGATCAGAGACAATG